ACATTTAAAAAGTATAATTTTTTTGAAAATTTTTTTAAAAAATTCACTAAATGCCAAAAATATAAAAAATATAAAAAAATTTAATACATTTTTCATATTTTTATGTATTTATTAATTTTTTAAAATAATTTTTACAAATATTTTACTTTTTAGATATATCTATATAAGGTGTATCTAATAAAAGTTAAAAAAAAAATTACTTAAAATTTTAAAAATATTCACTAAAAATAAAAAAAATTAAATTCAAAAAATTAAAATGAAACACACTGATTAGAACCCATTTTTATAAATTTATAATTTATTTTAAATTTATTTATGTGGTAACAATTAAATTGATAAAATGTGTGATTCATAAATAAAATAAATTTAAACTATTTATTTTTTTCTGAGTAAATTTTGAATGGATAAGATTAAATTTATAGTGTTAACATCTTTGAGAGTTATAACCCTATTGAATGGATAAGAATAAATTTTGAATGGATAAAAATAAATTTATAACGTTATTGAATCAGATAGCATCTTTGAAAGTTTTTACTTTGCATGCTTGTTGGTTACATATTTTGTATAGGCCAATCACAGTTCAACATGTGACAGGATGAGGACAATACGGGAAGACAATTTAAATCTTCAATCGTAATCACACACGTGGCAGTTAATATTGGTTATTGTGGATCTACATAGCACTGGATAAGTAAAGAGATGCAAGATGACGTGATTTTAACAGTTACTCATATATTCAAATTCAAAATCATGAGGAAAGCCTAATTACAGATATGGCGTAGTGGAGCTAATTGCCAGGAAACATGATCAGCGATCATAGAGGGATGATTCGACGGTTAGAAACTCATTTCAACGGTTATCATTAAGAAGTACAAATAGCAGAGAAGGCCCTAGAAAGAGCCCCCAAGCCCAGATCCAGAAACCAGTTTTTATTTACTTTATTTTCCTTCCAGTTTTTACATTTCTTATTCTTTACATTTCTGTACTTCAAATTCCTACACTGCACTTCATTCATAGAAGTAGTTCCAAGTAGCTTGTTGTTGTAAACATCTAGGAGGCTGAATTAGATCATTGTAAGTTTATTTCATTTTTACTTAATGAAATGTTACAACTGTTCTTCATTTAATTGTTGTTTGCTAAATTCTCTTAAACAAAACCACCAGTAAAAGTCCTCTTCATTGAGATTGAAAGAACTGAAACACAATCATCTGATAATTGGTTGGCACTTAATCTTCTGTAAGGACTGATTGATCCTTACCAGCACACTTAAAATTACAATACTAACCTTTGAAAGCCTTTGGCATGCCTAGTGGGACTTCTTGAAATGGCTAGACGTAGGAGACAATGAGAAAATGAATGCTTGGAAGAAGGCGTGGAAGGAGAGGTAGAAATACCTAATCTAGAGGATAATGTGATAGCACACCCTGTGAAAGTACCTGTCTTATCAGAACCTATAGTCGAACAGACCAGCACTTCGGAGCAAGTACTACATGTTCAAAATATTGGACGAGGCCATCGAGTTAGACCATCATCTGTTCCATCTACTCAGCCAATGAATCCATGGGGAGGCCTTGTAGATGCCATGGGATAGTAGTTAATGAACTTAATGGAAAGATGGACAATATCCTTTATAGATCGAATATATACCCATCAACCAACTAATACAAGGTATATAGAGGAAATTTCAAATGTCCCTCAGCAAAGATTGACTAGAGATAAACAGCCTATGCAAAATAATGGACATACTAATGGTTAAACTAGTAATCAAAACTATGAAATATCATTACCTCAGTCTTGGTACGAGCCTCTTTCGAGGCCTATGACAAATCAAAATGCCTCATTACTTAACAGTGAAGTCATGCAAATTGGTGGATCTGGGCCAATACAAGAAAATGGCATAAGGATGTTTCAAAATCCCATGTTCGAAGCCATACATGGCACGAGGGGGTTCACTAATCCTTTATTCGAATTTGTACCTGGAAGGTTGGAAGGGTTTCCTGCGGCTGGGAAAAACACAACACCTGTTCCAGCACCTTTCGCAAGTCCTTTTGTAGGACAGGCTCAGAGAGGTCAACCATACCCTCAACAGTAGCCAGCACCACAAGGACAACCAATCCTACGTCCCTATGGACCAAGAGGACCTTAGGCACAAGGTTTTCCACCAAATCCTGTGTTTGCTCCTTCAGTGGTGGTTCAACAAGCACAAAAATATGGTCCCTAGAGACCAAATTACTGATATTGTTAGAGAAATGTGTGGACCTATGGCTCGGGGGGTTCAAACTCTTGTATATGGGAAACCATACCCAGAATGGGTAGATAGGGTACATGAATACCCAAGAGGGTTTAGAATACCAGATTTTGCTCTTTTTTATAAGAACGAAAACCAGTCCACAGTATAACACATTGCTAGGTTCGCTGCCCAATGTGGTGAGTTTACCAATAATGATTACATGAAATTAGGACTTTTTCCAAATTCTCTAACTAGGGCAGCTTTTGTATGGTATATTAACCTTACACTTGGCTCTATCCAAACTTGGCAACAGATGGAGGAGGCATTTCATGCCCAATTCTTCCAAACGGAGCTAGAAGTTTCCATGGCAGACTTGGCAAGGTTGAGTCAAAAGCCTGATGAGATGACTGTTCAATTTATTGCCAGATTTAAAAGAGCACGAAACAAGTGTAGAGTCATTCTTCTAGAGCCTGAATTTGTGAGATTTCTCAAAATAGCTTAGAGTTTAGGCTCCGAAAGAAGTTTGATTCAACTGAGTTTCGAGACTTTGTGGAGTTAACCTATAAGGTGTCTAGGTATGAATCATTACTAGAGGAAGAACAAGATCGAAGTAATGCATCATACAAGACATATTATAGAGATCCTTATGAAATTGATGTAGCAGAGATCGTAAGGAAAGAGCCTATGACCTATGAGGCATTAATTCATAAAGACACTACAATAGGCCAACAATTTAAAAAGAAAGACCTTCCACTACAGGAAATTTGAGTTTTAGCTGCGTTTGTAAAACGCCGCTAAAAACCTGAAAAATGCAATAAAAGATTACAGCGACATTTAATATTTTCATCGCTGATACAGCCGCCGTAATAGCTTCACAACATTTAAAAAATGTTGCTAAAAACATTAGGCGGTGTTTTTAAAAATGCCGCAAAAAACTTTAACGACCACTTACATTTTCGTCACAAATAACGTATGATGTCATGATGACATCATTTAGTGGCATTTTTCAAAAAATGCCACCTTTAATTATTATTATTATTTTTTGGATGGATGTAGGGTACTGATTCTGCATAACACACCACAAGGTCAAAGAATTTAACTAAGAACGTAACTTTAAATATAGCATAACACAGGATCACAATTTTTATATATTCAATATATTGTAATCAACACATCTATAAAACATTATATGGAGATGGGGAAATAGTGCATAAAAATTATCTCAATCATTCATACAAAAAGTATCATCAAAGTACATGTTTATAAAACCATCATTAAACTCCATCAATCCAAGCATCAATAATTTGGTTCCATCTTGCCAATGACATGATCATGAGTATCCAGTTTTGAAAAAACAGTGGCACTGAAAAAAAACAACAATTCAAAACAAATAAGGAAAACCAAAACCCCTCATTTAAATATAAAGTAAGAATAAAATTCTAAACAAATTCAACTTCATTAATAAATTAAAATTCACAAATAAACTAAAATTCTAATCTTCCATTTTTTTCAACCAACTCCGTTTTACTCTCCATCAGTGGTGAACCATCAGTATAGCTTAGTAATATTGACAACCATGCTAAGGAAACAAACGATGCTAAAATGAGACATTCATGGAAGCATAAAAAGCATGCCTCCGACCTTTTTGCATTATTCCTAATATTAAGACCCCTCAAACTCTTTGAAATTATAGAAAGGAAACACACAAATAACTGGAGTTGAATAACTAACAGACCTTTGATCTTTATATTTTTCATATAAAATGTTCAATTCTTTATAGTTTGATTGTGTTAAGCCACTGCAAAAGGGAGCCAAAAAAGGTGAGAAAAGTTTATGTTAGTTTGAATTGAACAACTTTAATATGATTAAAAGAATTTTGTAGTCTATATTATCTTTTGTAAACTCAAACAAACAATAAACAAGAAGTCATATGCCAAACAACTAAGTAGGCTTCAAGAAAGAAGTAGCATTATGAATAAATCCAAAGAGCTCTAAATATTCCTAGGGAAATAAAAGAAGAAGAATATGGCCCAAAGATCAATTGTGCACCATCAGCTCCCAGGAAGCAGACAAAGTAATTAACAGCAAGGACAAAAAAAAAAAAAGTTTTAGTATGAATGATTATCAAAAGAGAATAGTGAACAAGAAGAAGAAGAAAAACAAGAAGAATAGGCAAATTAACCATGTAAATATAATAGATTTGACTCACTAGGATATATAAAGTCACTTGCTATTTTGAAGCAACATTCACAATCAGAACAACCTTCCCATTGTAATTTCTCAAAGGTACATCATTCCCACGTATGTCCTGCACTTTCAGTTCAATTCAATCAGTAACTACTAACCACATACAATGATAATGTTTGACAAAAACAATGGAAAGCTTCAAACCAAAGAATGTGGCCAACAGGACTATGAAATCAAACATTAACAACTATGTAACTACAAGAGGATGACAAAAGCAGAAGAAAATTTAGCATAAAATTTAACAAATTACTCAATAGAAAGAATATAGTGTGGCTAGAGGTAAGAATGGGAGTCAACTCACTTTGCTTAACACAGGGCAGCAAAGCAGGACTTCTTTCTCAAGCTTCCATAAGTTCAAAGATGTGCCAGATCGAAGGAACTCAGGAAGCATTTCCTCGCTTGCTTTCGACCGCACTTGTTCCAGTAAATTCTTAACTATGTACGAATAATTTGCGCCTTTCATCTCATATTAAGAAGAAAGAGTGAAACTACCTACAATGAGATAAAGTATACTGAAATTCAAAGCTTCTGTGAGGAACGCTTCGGAAGAGCATGAATTGGATAGCAAAACCAACTCAATTTCTTCAATTCAGCATGCAATTAACACCAAAAGAGGAATCAAAGTAGTTTTTAGCTCAAATTAAGAAGAGAAGCAAACTAAATTCAGCACATGTCATGTATGATTTATTTTTAGGTACATAACATTAATAAAAGAAGAAATATCAATTAGTGAGAATGCCTGAGAAAAATTTTAATTACCTGCAAGAGGGAATTTCTCATTGTTCAGAGCATTGACGTCGAAGCAGACAATTTGCAGATTTTGATTCTTGGAAGCGATGGTGATGATTGGGCGACCGGGGGGAACGATAAACACCACACCACAGCTCAAGCGGCATCTCACTTTCTGGTAGCTTGGGCCACTGCTCCTGCATTGCTGCTGGTGCAATCCTCTGCCCCCTCTTGCCTTCCTCTGCTGTTGCTGGTGCCACCGAACTCCGAAGAGGACAAGTGAGGACATGCCATCTCAAAGTATCCTTTCCCATTAGTCACCACAGCTATCTTTGTGGCCCTTGAGTTGTAGTATGGAGTTGTCATCGATCCCTACATCAACATAACCAAATTAATAAAATTGACAGTTTCAGTACATGAGATTCGGTTACTATGAAATTTATAAAGATTGTATTATGATTTACACACTGTTTGTTTTAACAAAAAATATTTTCCATTGAAAAAAACAATACTCATAATTTAAGACAGTAAATAATGTGACAATGACATTCTTATATTAACTTATGGGCTATAAGAATTGATAGATATAAATGAGACTGAATTGTCCATACTGGTTCCATTGGGAAGGGTGCTTGCTAAACAGATTAAATGTGTGTTTAGATTCGCCACCAAATGGCCATATGCCACCACCTTCCTCACGGTGTGTCGTGGCTTTAATTTGTTCTTCAGATGCTTGGAAGATTATGCCCTCCCTTTGTCCAAATAGCCTTTGAATCTTATCCCTCTTTGTCTAATGTTTCAGAAAAAAAAAAAATGAACACAGTTATAACATTGATGAAAAAAATTCAAAGCTCAATTTTTACACTTGTTTCACCTAACATTTGTTTTAACTATCGAACTTACATTTAGAGCGTCTTTAAGAAGGCTAGAGCTGACTGCACTGAAATACAACTCTGGATTTTCCCCTCTTGGTCCAAAATATGCCTATATCACAACAATTTTTAAGAATTTAGTATACACAAACCGTAATACTAGATATCTAAAATATTTATTCAAAATGTTAGTCAAAAAATATTAATACGCGATCCAAATTCACTCTATATATGAATCAATAATACACCACTTCAATTTTAACCACAACCAAATTTAGTTTAGGTCTCACTCTATGGCTGTAACTTCATAATTAAGAGAGTGATTCTTTATTTATTACAAGTAGGTCCTTCCTGCTGCCTAGTGTCTATGGACTGGCCACTTATTATCTGGTCCAAACAAGTGTCTTTTGCAATTATTAATGTAGAATAAGCAATTATAAGAACTAGTGCGTGTGAAGAGCGAGAGACCATTAAGCTCATTTGACAAATAAGCAAACACCAAGAATATTTGTAATACTCCAAATTCAGAGTTTTTTAAGCCTGGTTACTATGAAGGGTGAAAGAATCAAAAGTAACGAATAAACCGTCTCCAGGCCCTTTTTTTCCATGAAAACTATGATAACAATTATCCGATTTAACATTGCAGATAGGTTTAGCTAACAGAAATAGATTTACAAGTTTTGAACCCATTATGGAGGTTTGACCCCTCAAAAAGATAAGAAACTATCAATATGGCGTGGCAAAACTTTATAAATTTAGTTCTCCTACAATCACAACCTTATACAAGTAACTGTATTTAATTTAAAGAATAAAAAAAACTCGGCAATCCCTCAACTCCTTGTCCTACTCCACCTGAAAATTGTAACTTTCTTTTTAGGCAATGCACCCAACCAATGATGCCTAGGCTTCCCCCTATAGACAAATCCAATTGTTCATTCCACATTAAGCCAAAAGGTTTTTTCTTCATCTAAAATCATCGAATTACCTTACTTTATAGCTGTTGTGAATACAATTCAATACAATAAAAAATAAAAAATAAATAAAAAAAGAAGAAGGTGAATTTCTCATCATTTGATTGTTGGACATTTCCACAAATTTGTGTATAATTCAGCAAAACAACAGTAAATTTGATACCAGAATTGCATGACAGACAACAAAAGCCCATTCCCTGCTTCAAAAGTGTAGTTCTCATCATTTGATTGTTGGAAATCTACCCTCAATTATAATTCAAATACATAAATTCAAGTACATACACACACTTACAAACATACAGAGAGAATCTAAAAGGCAATACCCGCATTGCCATGGCTGTCTCTCTTGAGTTCTCATCAATAGGAAGCATAGTGCTGGCGTCACTGTAAAACTGGTGAACAAAATCTGGTTACTGCTAAAGTACCTGGTAATACTGCCCAACAAAGTACGTCCCAACCTGAAATCCAAAGACCTATCTTTTTAGAGAGAGATAGTGAATATATATATATATATATATAGAGAGAGAGAGAGAGGACCTGAGCAGTAGTGACGGGCAGGTGAAATGGAGTAGCCATGACGAGTCTCGAGGGGCTCTAAAACCCTAGAGCTCCAATCAAACCCTAGGTCAGCAATGCGGTGGCGACTCCATCGTAATCGTTATCGTCCTCCTCATCATTCATGCTCTCCTCTGAACTATCCTCACCATCATCTTCTCTATTACTCCCGTGAATCAACCTATCTTCTCTCCTCCTCTTGTTGCGACTCGATCGAGTTCGATCCCGGTCCTTATCTCGATCCCGATCCTTCTTCACTCAACTGGTCTATCTTTCTCTACAAAATTATCAAAATCAGAATCAAGAAAAACAAAAAACCATCAAGAAATTTCAACCAAATCGATTCAAGAATCGATGGATCTGAATTGATAGAACTCCTAAACGATGGATCTGAACAAATAATCAGAATTGAACCTGGTGAATCTCTCAAGGAGAATGAGGAGAGACAGAGAAAACCCTAGATCTTGGACGGTGACAGAAAATGGGAAGAGAGAGAAATGAAGAGAGAAAGCAGAATGACGGAAAGAGAAATAGAGACTGAGTGAGACAGAGCACATTATAAAGTGGAATGCGTGTCTTTTAATTTTATTTTATGTCTTTCACAGCGTTTTTCAATAAACGTTGTCTAACAAACATGGTTATAGGCAACTATTCTTGTAGTGTTCATAGGAAATATTCTTTCGATTTAATAAAGGCAGATGACATTTTTGATTATTTGCTTACGGCAAACTTCCTAAAGTTACCAAAAGGAGTCAAAATTCCTTCTCCAGAGGAACTTAAAGGAAAAGTGTATTGTAAATGGCATAATTCTTGGTTTCACTCAACTAAAAATTGTATTGTTTTTCGGGACAAGATCCAAGAACAGATTCGAAAAGGGAGTTTAAAATTTTCAGCTAAAGCGAAAAGGCTATGGGGATTGACACTAATCCATTCCCATAAATTAGAGAAGTTGCAGCCAATGTTATTGTGCCAGACTTCCAGAACTTATCCCTGAAGGAATTGGAAGAGGTTAATGTGCAAATGCATGTTGCTAGCCAGACTACTGTCTTTATTTATTACAAGTAGGTCCTTCCTGCTGCCTAGTGTCTATGGACTGGCCACTTATTATCTGGTCCAAACAAGTGTCTTTTGCAATTATTAATGTAGAATAAGCAATTATAAGAACTAGTGCGTGTGAAGAGCGAGAGACCATTAAGCTCATTTGACAAATAAGCAAACACCAAGAATATTTGTAATACTCCAAATTCAGAGTTTTTTAAGCCTGGTTACTATGAAGGGTGAAAGAATCAAAAGTAACGAATAAACCGTCTCCAGGCCCTTTTTTTCCATGAAAACTATGATAAAAATTATCTGATTTAACATTGCAGATAGGTTTAGCTAACAGAAATAGATTTACAAGTTTTGAACCCATTATGGAGGTTTGACCCCTCAAAAAGATAAGAAACTATCAATATGGCGTGGCAAAACTTTATAAATTTAGTTCTCCTACAATCACAACCTTATACAAGTAACTGTATTTAATTTAAAGAATAAAAAAAACTCGGCAATCCCTTAACTCCTTGTCCTACTCCACCTGAAAATTGTAACTTTCTTTTTAGGCAATGCACCCAACCAATGATGCCTAGGCTTCCCCCTATAGACAAATCCAATTGTTCATTCCACATTAAGCCAAAAGGTTTTTTCTTCATCTAAAATCATCGAATTACCTTACTTTATAGCTGTTGTGAATACAATTCAATACAATAAAAAATAAAAAATAAATAAAAAAAGAAGAAGGTGAATTTCTCATCATTTGATTGTTGGAAATCTACCCTCAATTATAATTCAAATACATAAATTCAAGTACATACACACACTTACAAACATACAGAGAGAATCTAAAAGGCAATACCCGCATTGCCATGGCTGTCTCTCTTGAGTTCTCATCAATAGGAAGCATAGTGCTGGCGTCACTGTAAAACTGGTGAACAAAATCTGGTTACTGCTAAAGTACCTGGTAATACTGCCCAACAAAGTACGTCCCAACCTGAAATCCAAAGACCTATCTTTTTAGAGAGAGAGAGAG